AGGGGTGTGAAAAATGTAACTTGGAGTGTGCGAGGTTGAAAGTTACATTTAATAAGCCCCCCCCATTGGGGGAGAATGCATTGTGCAGAGTCTTGTGATGTCATTTGCCTGCGATAGTAGCAGGAATGGATCAAGAGAGAGGTCGTATGATGTTGTATGAAGTAAGAGCTAGTCAACGACAATCAAAGCGAGAAAATCAATGCAGTCAGAACACAGGGTGAAAAGGCATGTGTACATGTAACATCATGTTACATATGCCAGCTGCGCAAGCACATTCCAGGTGATACTGCATGCTTCCAAGGCCTGGACACACCTAAGTTACAATTGCTTATGGGTCCACAGCACATCACAACAAAACACAACAAGTCCACCAAAGCACTCCAGTTGAAAAGGTATGTTTAAATGTAACATGTGACAGCTGCACATAGCACAGATTAGGTGAAAATGCATGTTTCCAAGACGTCCACATGTCTAAGTTACACTTCTTTCTTGCATTCTGGTCCAACACTGCTGACACTGTGGCACAGCAGGTCTAGAATTAAACGCACTCCTCCCACAACATCAAAACAGAAGAACTCCAACCAAAGCACACCCAGTGATAAAGGCATTTAAATGTAACATATGCCAGGTGCACACAGCGCAGTCTGGGTGATAATGCAAGTTTCCCAGGCCTGCGCACACCAAAGTTACATTTCTTTCTGGCATTCTGCAGAGGAACCAGCTGATGAGAAGAGTTTTGCGTAGTCGAAGAGCGCAGTCGAAGAAGAAAAGAGCCCATACTCTTCAAGCAGCCTCACTGAGTCTTGCGTAGTGTTACCTTGAACCATCCTAGACCTGAAAAAATGTAACTTACAGTTTTTACATATTTAGTTACATTTTAAATTTTCCCTGGAATAATGTAACTTGCATAAGTTACATTTTTCATTAAAAGCCTAACAAATGTAAGTTACATTTTTCCAGGTATATGTAAAGGGCTAAATGTAAGTTACATTTTTTCAGGTCCCCCCCCCTGCTAAGGGGTAGGGATGTTATACTAGTTATTAAGTTATACATTCAATGTTACTCTTACCACAATATCGACAATTTGAAAGTAAATGGGTCGGAAACCTGTTTTTGCCAGTCGCAATGGCTGGCTTGTCCCGTCACCAGTGGTCGACACCAGCTACACTTGAAATGTGCTGGCTCACCGACTCTCACTCCGAAAGCCATGCTAATATCTTTTGTAGATGTTGGATGATGTTGCAACATGTTGCAACAATATGTTGTTTACGGGCGGAATGGAATCCATCTTCTCCCAGCCGCATGTGTATGTTTCTCGCCTTCTTGTCTTGCAAATGTTGAGTGTTGATCCATCTTCCGGCAAGACACCAAGCAAAACGCAAAAAGTCAAACAGTGAGAGAAATCAAACAGTGAGAAAAGTCAAAAAGTCAAAAAGGCAAAGGAAACGAAAGCACGCAGCGAGACTTTTCGAGATTTTTGGACACCAGTCACATGCCGTGCCCTTCAACAAAGTCTAGCAGAATTGATCCAAACGTTTCTTTTGCTCCTGCTGACAGAGAGAGGATCTGGAGGTCAAAACATGCAGCCCCGATGACCTTCAAAAAGAATCAAAAGAGACGCCCGCCAAAAGGACCCGGCCAGCCGCGGGACCTTTTTGGCAGGTGACTCTTTTGATCATCGTTCCCTTTTCGTGCAGCTTTTTGGACTTTTCGACTTTTCGCAAAAAGTTCGGAGAGCAAGTAGATCCAGCTCATACATAGCAACCACAGTCCGTTCAGCACTCCCTTGGAGCGGTCAGACTGAGTCGGGCAGCTGGCAGGATGTGACCAGCTCTTCAAAGGGCCGAGGTGGGACAACGACAAAATGTGTTGTAAACATCGTGTGGTTTGTCGTTGGTTTGTTATTAGTTATTTTTTTGCTTGGAATGAACAGTTCCTCCATGTCACATCTTTATGTTGCCTAAATGGTGCTTGCCACATTCTGCAATAAGTGTGCAGTGTCCTTTGCATTTTGGGTTTGGGGATTTCGTTGGGTTGACTTTGGTCTCCGAACTTGTTTGGCTAGGTCGCCTCTTGCTGGGCACTGCCTTCTCCAACTACGTGGTGGAAGGCTGTCTTGACATACAGTTGACCATGTGACACACGAATTCTATTGGGCAGTGGGATTCTTGAAGTTCGGAAAGATGACGAAACTTACTTGCATGAGTGGTGCCACTATGTTTGATGTCGCAGTGCAACACACACACACAAACACACACTCTGACATTGGTTTGCTGTTAACTCAATTCCCACGATGAGAAGGAAGGTGATGGAACGGCAAGGTGCATGAGTCGGCAAAACCGTATTGTTGAACAAAGTTTCGACAGGTGTGTGGTGGCGAGCCTCTGTACAATTCAGCTGCGTGAGAAAGTGGAAGGGTTTGTGGGAAGTATCATGAACCACCATGGAATCAAAAAAGGAGGATTGGAACAGCTTGCTCAACCGTTGAAGCAGGTACACACTCAGACGTCTCTCAGTGCTTCCCATCTCGCTGCCCAGCTTTGTTAGGCCAGGTCAGTAGCGAGATGCCTGGTCCCCCTGCCTTATGGAGTGGTGGTGGCGGTGGTAGAAACAGTGGCATTGAACCCTTTGGTACAGGGGGTGACACACACACGGTGCCGCTTCGCGGCGCTCGTGTGAAACACCTCAATAGTCACCTAAAGAGCCTTTATAGAAACAAAAGAAAGGAAAGACAGAAAGAGCAGCGCTAAGAGGGCAAGAAGGAAAGGTAGGTGTAGAAAAAGTGAACACTTAGCCCTTGACTGGGGTAGGGAAACGAGCCTCAAGAGCAACCTAAAAAGCCTGAGAGAAAGCCCAACAAACGACGAAAAGCGCAAGAAGGAAAGCGGGGGGCAGGGAGGGGTTGTATGTTCATGTGTGTGTACATGTGTGTGTCTGAATACCTAGCACTCTAGAGTTACTGATTACTTAGCAGAAATGAATTAAATGCAATAGTTAGGGAGCGGGACTTTAGTCTTAGACCGCCCGGGTAGGATAGACTAGAACAGGGACAACAAAGGGAAAGGCACCGACACACAAGTGTGTCGAGTACCATTTCCCTGTGTTACCCTAATTAGGTCGGGATAAGAACGCGGTGGGGGGGGGTGTTGGGAGACCTGCCTGAAGGGGGATGAATGCCGTTTTTAAGCCCGGCGGCTTGTCAAATCCCGTTTTTTTGGCCCGGCGGCCGTGGAAGCAGTAAATTCAGTTAAGGCTGGTCAAGTGGTGAATTCCTGTGAGAGGTGGAAGAGCTCAGTTACACGATTTCCCAAATGAAACGGCGCCTCCTTGCGGAGGATCACACTCAGCACCCGAATGGGGCCGGCTGAGCGAGACACACTCTGACATTGGTTTGCTGTTAACTCAATTCCCACGATGAGAAGGAAGGTGATGGAACGGCAAGGTGCATGAGTCGGCAAAACCGTATTGTTGAACAAAGTTTCGACAGGTGTGTGGTGGCGAGCCTCTGTACAATTCAGCTGCGTGAGAAAGTGGAAGGGTTTGTGGGAAGTATCATGAACCACCATGGAATCAAAAAAGGAGGATTGGAACAGCTTGCTCAACCGTTGAAGCAGGTACACACTCAGACGTCTCTCAGTGCTTCCCATCTCGCTGCCCAGCTTTGTTTGACCAGGTCAGCAGCGAGATGCCTGGTCCCCCTGCCTTATGGAGTGGTGGTGGTGGAAACAGTGGCCTTGAACCCTTTGGTACAGGGGGGTGACACACGCACACACTTCGACAATTGTATTCAGTTAACTAGTTCCCACGCTGGGAAGGATGGCGGTGGAACAGCATGGTGAAAGGTCCAAAGACTTGAAGGTGTTTTAACATTGAGGTT